TCATCAGCTTCAGTAACCATCGTCTTTTGGCCATTTTCTTTCATTCTTCTTTCCCCCTCCCTTCCCTTCTCTTTTCTTCCCTTTCTCTTCTCCCTTCCTTGTCCTTCCTTCCTTCCTTCCTCCCTCCCTCCCTCCCTTCCTTCCTTCCTTTCTTCCTTCCTTCCTTCCTCCATCCCTCCCTTCCTTGCTTCCCCTCCCCATTCTGTTTCTAGTATTTTAAAGCAAATTCAAGCTATCATATTAGTTCACCCACAAGTATAAGTAATTCAGTATTAATTTCTAAAACTAAGGATTTTATCTTAATGTAACCCTAGTATCATTATCACACTCAACAAAATTGACAGTAATTCCTTAAGATCATTGTGTGCAAGTTTTCCCCATTGTCTCAAATATGTCTTCTTAGAGCTGTTTTTTCTAATAGGGTCCAAATATAGTTTACCATTTGCATTTGGTTGATACGCCTTTCAGTCTCTTAATCTATGACAGTTCTCCTTCACCCCCTCTCCTCTTTTTTTTCTTCTTAAATGCCATTTATTTGTTGAAGAACTTGAGTCTTCTGTCCTACAAAATTTCTCACATTCTGGATTTGGCTGATTGCTTCTTTTTAGTATCTTTAACTCATTAGTTCTCAAACTCAGCTGCACATTGGAATTATCTAGAAAATTTTAAAAGTTATCAATCCCACCCCCAGAGACTGATTTAATTGATCTTGGTTGCAGCCAGGGTATCAGGATGTTTTAAAAGCTTCGTAATGATTCTAACGCATACCAAAGTTTGAAAACCTTTAATTTGCTTCTGTATTTCATCTATTCACTGGTATTTGGATCTAGAGGCTTGATTAGACTTAGGCTCACTTATTTTGGTGATATTCATTCACGTAACAGTGCCCCAGATCTCTTGTGGCAGCTCATTAGGAGGAAGTATTTTCTGGTACGTTTCATTTGTAACACCTGTGACGAGGTCACAGTTTCCTAAGTTCCATCCCTTCTCTGTCATTCTCTGAACTGTAGAGGGTCAGAACAGAAACTCAGGAAGCTATAGACTTGGAACTGTTTTTCCCCTAGTAACCTCTACCAACCTCACATTTTCTGTCCCCTTCATTCCACTGAGTAAAGAGGGACTTACTGACACCTCAGCCCAGTCAAATAAGTTTGCAGTCACTAAGGGTTTAAAATCTAGTCCCATCTGGTTCAGAGGAATCTCAGGGCTCCCTTCCCATTTAGGGCAGGCCCAGTCCCATGGCTTCTGGGAATGGCTAATGACAGAGAGGGAGTTGAGGTGTGGTGTATGTGTGCGTCTCCTGTACCTTACCTTCTCCCTTTCTCCCTGTCTCCCTTTTCTCACACTACCCAGTTCATGGTGGGGATGGGGGCACGGAAAGGAGAATTTTCTTACCTGTTTTGCTGAAGTTAGAGGGGACCAATCTATAATCCCATCCTTTACATTTTATTCAATAAATACTTCCTATGTGCCAGGCAGTGTTCTAAGTGCTTTACAAATATTAACAAATGTATAACAACTCCATAAAGCAGATTCTTTTATTATCTCCCTTTTAAAGTTAGGGAAACTGAGGCACTGAGTAGTTAATAAGTAATGTGTCCAAGGTCACACAGCAAATAAGTGGCAGAGGTGGGATTTGAATCTAGGCTGTCTAGTTCCGGTGTTCATGTTCTAACTACGATGGATGGGAGCTTACCCAGCCTGGTTCTGGCATCAATTACGGTTAGTGCCAGCTCTCCTGGGAAGCACATGAGGCAGCCCCTGAATGCCTATTTGTCACTTATCTATGCAGCCTTCTAACGTCTGAGATTTCACAGTGAGGGAGAGACAGGGCATCCCTCCTTTCAGTCTTCATGGGACACCCTATGTACCTCCCCAGGCAAGTCTGCAGGGGACGTAGACCCCAGTCCCCATCTGCCCATCCTTCTGGAGCCCCATGTCCAACTATGGGAAACTTAGGAGTCCCTACGATGCCCATCTCTATTCCCTGGAAGCAGCTTTGCCCTTACTCACTTGCCAGGTGACTGACTCCCTCCTCCCGTCCCTAAGTTCCCCATAAGCTTTTGGCACTAAGGCAGATTTTGTAATTCAGAACTTCACATTTTCACTCTTTACAGCAGTGGTTCTAAGCCAGGGGCCCTTGAGCTCCCGAGGTAAAATTTAGCAATGTCTGGAGATGTTTTTGGTTGTCATGACTGGGAGTGGGTGGTGCTACTGGTGTCTAGTGGGTAGAGGCCAGGGGGCTGCTGAACATCGTGCTATTTACAGGACAACTCCCCCAGCCTCCCATAACATAGGATTAATCCCACCCAAAATGTCAACAGTGCTGAAGTGGAGAAACAGCGCTTTACAGAAATAACTGTTCACCTGGTACTTTTGCGTTCATTCATCCTTTCACTTAACAACAAACTTATTCTGTATTTACTGTGTGTCAGGACGTAGGGACTACAAAAATGAGTAGCTAAAGACAGAGCTGTTTTCAAGAAATGCACAGTCCAGCAGGGTGGGCAGATTTTTAAATAGAGAACAGGGATGCACAAGTGCTGTTGTTGTTTTTAATATGAAGTTTATTGAGCACTCTGTGTGCTCTTTCCCTAAGCTATCTTATTTATTTTGCAAGGAAGGCAGGAAGTGTCATGGGAGGAGACAGTTCATTCTGCCTAAGGGGCGGGGGGGGGGGGGGCTGGCGGGTGGCTGACAAAGGCTCTACAAAGGAGGGGACTTTTAAGCTGGGCTTTACCCTGCAGAGATGTGAAAGTGTGAAAATAAATACTGTATCAAGAGTATAGTAAACAGCCTGTCAGGGCAGCTGCTGCCCTCTTGCAAAGTCAGGGAGACTTTGTGCCTGTTGAAAAACAGATACTTCCATGGAGTGGTCACAGTCTGGAGGGCGCAGGTTTGTAAGCCCTACCTGAGCCCCCACCGGCCCCCTTGGCTGGGGACACTGAGCAGTGCACAACCTGCATGACCGCAGGGCATGCTTCCAGAGTTTAGTTACCAGTTCATGGGGACAGAGGATCAGCAGTGGGCATGAGTAGAAACAGGCGCTTTATCTGGATGACAATGGGAGCATTAGTGGTTTGAGGCAGAGGAATGACTTGATTAGGTATTTGTACTTGAGCAAGAGCTCTCTGCTGCCAGCCTGAAAAGTGGGGGAGGACGGGACCGGTTGAAAGCACTTAGTAGGCTAGAGACAGTAATGAGGGCCCGGCCATGGCAACAGCAGTGAGAAGAGAGAAAAAGGAACAGATCTGAGAGACTTTCCACAGGTAGAACAGACTGGACCACGTGATCCAGTGTGGCAACTGAATGAGAAGAACAAGTCAAAGATGATTCTGAGGAAATGGGCAGATGGTGCTGCTGTTTCTAGAGAATGCCTACTGGGGAAGGAGTAGATTAAGAGGGAAGAAAATCAGCTTGGCGTGAGGCATATTGAACTGGATTTGTTTGCAAGATTTCCAGATAGAACTGTCTCGGAGGCAGCTCAGGACAGGGATCAAGAGTCTTCAGCCTAGAAATTAGAGTTAAAATCTTGCAAGTGATTAAAGACAGTTCTGGGGAAGATGTGGAGAGAGAAAAGAAAAGGTCGAGAACAGAACTCCACGGCCCACTCACACTTAAAAGGAGAAAGGCCAGTGAATTATACTATTCGCTGACATTTATATAGTACTTACCACAAACCAGGCACTGTTGTAAGAACTTTATACGCAAACTGAATGCTCCCAGTATCCCTATGTACAATTACTATCCCTGTTACAGATGGGGAAAGTGAGGCACAGAGGATGTTGAGTAATTGACCAAGGTCACCCAACAAGTAAGTAGTAAAGCCAGGCTTATGAACCCCGGCAACCTGGCTTGAGATTCTGCACCTAACCAGACTGTGAATGGGAGCTGGAAAGAAACAGGATGGAGGAAAGCAGGAGAGAATGGGGCCCCTGGATCCAGGGACATGATAGTTTCTGGAAGTGAACAGCAGCATCAGCTGCCTGAGAAGAAGCCATAGAAAATGGAAACTGAGGGAAGCATCTCTGATTACTTCTGCAGGAGCCATCTCAGTGGTCATTGCTGGCAGTTTGCTGCTCACAATAGGTTGAAGGATAATGGGAGGTGTGGACCAGAGTGGGGGTCTGGAGGCTTCCTTTCAAGAAGTTTGGCCTTGAAGGGGAGGAAATGGAGTGGCAGATTAAGGGGGTGGCAAAGACCAGGGGCAGCCACTACTCTCTCCAAGGCAAGGACTTGGTGATGTTTTCTGCTTCTTTGATGTTTCTGAAGGTCCCCTCTAGCCCAAAGCTCAGAGCGGTCTAGGGAAGCCCTACTTTCAGCTGAATTTGAGTGTCAGTTTTATGCCAGTTGTTTGGGCAAGCCTCACATCAGAGAGAATTGGGCGCCTCACTAGCAGATGTCCAGGGTTTAAAAATTCAGTCCTATTTCTTTTGACCCAGGGCCTGCCTTCTTTTCTTTCTTCTTCCCCTAACCACAGTGCCTTGATGGCAGATAAGGACCTGGTATTCATTCCCTACTGCTGCATAACAATTTACCACAAATTTATCAGCTTAAAACAACCGATTTATTATTTCCCGGTTCCAAATATCAGAAGACCAGGCAGGCTCAGCTGAGTTCTGTGCTTAAGGTCTTCCAAGGCCAAAGTCAAGGTGTTAGTAGGGCTGAGCTCTTATCTGGAGACTCTGGGGAGGAATCTGCTTACAAGTTCATTGAGGTTGTTCGTAGAATTCAGTTCTCCTCGCTCAGGCGGGGCGTGCTACCTCATCATATTCAAAGTCCTGGGGATTAGGGCAGCAATCTTTGGGGTCATTTTAGAATTTAGCCAGTCACAGACCTAGTTTCTCACGGGGCCAATCACTGAGAGGGACTTCATAGAGAGTCTAGGGAGTGGCCTGGGTCCGCACCAAAGTTCACACAGAAGTTCAGTCCAGTCTCAATTTCTCTCTTGATTAGCCTGGAGATCTGGGGGTGGGAGTGGGGGTGGGGGGCGGAGGTGGTGCCCAGGCCCACCCCCGGGATATCTTTGGGGAGCTTATTGTGGGATTAAGGTTTGGGGTGGTGCAAAGAAGGGAGCTGCAGACTCACTTGAACGTGGGGAAGAAATCTTCACAGCAGCTCCCCAGGGATGTCCTCGGGTTTCTGGGCGTGAGAGGAGGGGCCTGCTTGGTGGTTTTGCTGGTTAATAGTGATTTCCTACTTCCAGGAATCTTCTGCAGAAATACAGCTCCCAGCTAGAGTGAGGCCTGAGTACCGCCTTGGCCCAGGATGGCCAGAGAATCGAAGGAAAGCGCAGCCCTGGACGCCCAGTCTGCAGAGGACCAGATGGGGCTTCTGGTCATAAAGGTGGAGGAGGAAGACGCCTCTGCCTTTGTGGAGGAGGCCAGCCTGAGGGGCAGCCCGGTTCGGGGTTCGGAGCACTCCCGCCAGCGCTTCCGGGGCTTCCGCTACCCCGAGGCCGAGGGGCCCCGCGAGGCGCTGAGCCGGCTCCGGGAGCTCTGCCGACTGTGGCTGCGGCCTGAGATGCACAGCAAGGAGCAGATCCTGGAGCTGCTGGTGCTGGAGCAGTTCCTGACCATCCTGCCGGGGGACCTGCAGAGCTGGGTGCGGGAGCAGCATCCGGAGAGCGGCGAGGAGGTGGTGGTGCTGCTGGAGTATTTGGAGAGGCAGCTGGAAGAGCCGATGCCGCAGGTAGAGAGAACACGTTTAGTATCTGAGAGCTGGGGTCTGTCTCTTCCTGAAATCTCAAGATCGGAGTGAGGGGCATTTCTTTAAGATCAGAAGTTCTCATCTGTTTTTGTACCGTGAACCTCTTTGGCAGTAAGGTGAAGTCCCTGGACCCCTTCTCCTAATAGTAGTTTTAAATACATAAAGGAAAATATAAAGGATTACAAAAGAACTCAATTATATTGAAATACAGGTAACAAAGTATTAAATTTGTGATAAAGTTATATATGTGCTTTTTTATTGATGAACTAAATAATAAGACCTAGGGACAAGCCTAGCAACTGGTAATTTCAAAGTTGTTATGAGCGTGAATGATGTCGACAATATTTGCCTGGTTATAATGTGAAGTGAAAACACCTTTGCTTTCTATTGGTGACAAAGTCCCAGATATGCTCTGCCACATTGGTTTGTTGCTTCCTTTCATAATTGAAGGGAATGCTCAGTTTCTCTTAGAGCCTAGCAAAAATAAAAGTACTTTTTTCCTCTCCAAGTCTGTGGACCATTTGGGAGGGAGTCCATGGACCACAGGTTAAAAACCTCTGGTCGAAAATGGGTTGATTTTTACCTGTATCTTCTTGCCTGTTTTATGAGATTGTTTCCTCTTTGCATTATCTAGCATCTTTGTGCACGTTCCTTCAGAGGACGTGTGGCCAGAGCCTTCTAACCAGTGACATGAGGCCAAGATTCTTGACTTGTGTCTACCTGGTCCAAACCCTGTAACAGTGAAAAGTCATTTCAAGTCTCTTAGCTTCAGGCTCTTCATTCTTTATAGAGGAAATGAGCTGCACATGAGAAAGTAACTTGAAAACTCTAACTATAAATGTTTGGAAGGAAGCCCATGTTTAACAGGGACATACCACGTGCAGGGTCCTGTGTTAGGTGAGATCACATACTGTGATCTTATTTACTGGTCCACCAAACACTGTAAGCTAGAAATTATTATCCTCATTTTTCAGTAAGAAAAGATATTAGTATTCTCTTAGAAGTTAGTACCAATTGCCAGAGTTTTCATAAAAGCACAAATATATTTAATGAGGGAGCACAGAGTAAAGCTTAAGAGCATGGGCTCTGGAGTCATTCTGCCTGAGCTCCCATCCTAGCATTGCCACTTATTAGCTGGGGGACCTTGGGCAAACTGTTTAAACTCTCTGTGCCTTTGATTCCCCATCAGTGAAATGGGGATAATAATAGTACCCACCTTAAGGTTGTTGTCTAGGTTAAATGAGTTAATATTTTTAGTGCTCATGGAAACAGTGCCAGGCACATAGAAAGTGCTACAGAAGTGTTTGATGAATAAATAAATGAATAACTTCTAGGTCCCAGGTGGTGACCAGGGGCAAGAACTGCTCTGTTGCAAGATGGCACTGTTGGCACCATCCCAGGGGTCACAAAGTAGCCAATTCCAGCCGATGAAGGCTCTGCTCAAGCACGAATCTCTGGGATCCCAGCCCTTACCAGACAGAGGTGAGGATTGTCTTCTGGGCAGTATGAATTCTGCAGACTTCCTCCAGTTTCACTTAAAGGTCATCTAATAGATCCATTGCCAGTGATTTTATATGCCCATCACTGATTGAGTCTGCTTTGAGACTGAGACTAAAAGGGAAATTTCAAACAATGGTGGAAAGCTTTCCCAACCAAGCCTGGACAAAAAAGATAAATAAATAAAATTTGATTTGGAAAGAATTGGTTCTCCATTGATTTAACATATAATTATGGAGGCCTCTTATGTGGTAGTCAGTGTTGTTGGTGCTGGGGATAGAGCCATCAGTGAGACGGAGTCCTTGCTGCAATGGAGCTTACATTCTAGTGGGGAAGATGGCAAATACACACATTAATAATATAGTTTCAGATAGTGGTAAGTGCCAAGAAGAAAATGAACAGAATCTGTAAAGCCAGTCAGAATATCCCAGATTGTAGGACTATTGGAAATTAAAGAGTATAAATCTTCTAAACCTTAGGTCTGTTGTTAAAATGGCATGAAATTCACTCCATAGGACATGGCTATATGTTCTGAGGTGTTTTCTCAGATGTGCGCTGAACATGTGTGTAGCTCTTCAAGGCACACAGCACTGGGGCACACCAGCCAACATGCAGTCTTCATTTCTCAACAGAGGTTCTAGTCTAAAGCAACTGTTTTGTGCCCCTTTTAAAGTTGGCCTCCTATAGGGGAACCTGAAGTTCTTTTTACTTTTCTCTCTTGAATCTGAGCAAGTTCTATATATACTCCCAGATGTCCATTTCTGCCTTTCTGGGCCCAGCTTTGTCTGACTCTTCTTAGTTTTTCAAAACCAAAGCAGAAAGCCCCCTAATAGCTACTAAAGAGATTTTAACCAAAATCTTATTTTTCTCTCCCTCCCTAGCAAAGTTCAAAGGATTTTCAGATGAAATGTTCTATGTTGCTTTCATTACACCATTTTTACTAAGGATCCTGCCTTTTTGTGTAGTTTTTGTACATCTGCAGAACACACCAGCTCTGTTTAGGCCCTAGGATTGGAGCTGGAAGGGATCAGGCATTTCTTGAAAGGAAAACACTATAAAACTTCTTGGCAGGAATATAGTAACCAAGTTTTTGAACTTGGATTCCACAGGGCAGGGAGGCTGACTGTCAAGGTAGATCTCATCCAGAGCTTCTTTCCTTCTTAGCTCTCCAGATTCCCGGGCTTGCCCGGGGAGGGTGCTGCAGAGAAGATGCAGTGGTAGCTGCCAGGCTCTCTCCAGAGCCCCAGGTGAGCTGGAGCCCCTTTCCCTCCCCCAATGCCCTTTACTACTGTCCTGCTTCCCGTGAAGGTCCCTCCCTCCCTACTACCCCTCTTTCCCCATCCTAGATCCTCCACCCAAATCCTAGATGAATTTTGAATTTTCTCATTTATGCCAAGGTTGTTTATCATTGTCGATTTCTTTTTGGTATCCAGTTAAGAGCCTTTTTTTTCCCCCCAAAAGTATGTTTAATGAAATTAAATGAAAGAGTAAAATTGACTCATACAGATGATTAATACCTTCTAAGTGCTTTATAGTCCATTATTAAGTAAATAACAGCATGATGTTCACTTTAAGTTTATAATGTGACATATAAAAGGATGACTTTTGTAACCAAGAGAAACCACTCAATGACAGATAGATACTCTGGGTTTTCCTATTTTATTACTAGCTTGGGGGGCTGTCTGTGCTTCCCAGATCTTTCCTACTCCTTCTTTTGGTCAGCCCCTTCTTCAGTGGGATTTTCTTCTTCAATAAGGGCAATTCAGCAAATGCAAACTGAAGCTTTTGTTGTGATGGTGGTTTTGTTTTGTTTTTTTAAAGTTTAAAAAAATGTCCTATGGATAGGAATGTAAACACATGGCCTCTGCTCTCAGGAACTTAAACTTGAAGGGACAGATGAGGCATGTCCTTTTATCCAAACCCATGTGATTTAAACAATCTTTATTTACACTCGATTTTAATTCCTACCCAGTTCATGTCCTTGAAGATCTCAGTGTTTGAGGCTCTGTAGTATCCATTTCCTTCCCTGACTTTCCTCACCTCAGACCTAGATTTCATTGTATTTTAATAATCATTATTGTAAATGGGCCCCTATCACTACTATGCCAAAAAAGCACACCACAAATCTTTTGGAAGGTTTCGATTTGGTTCCATTTCTTTCACTATGTTGGCCTTTATTTTCCAAATTTTTTCTTTCTATTCTAGTGTCTAGATATTTATGTGAAGAGACGTCTCCTAATATGTTTAATATTTCTTTACTTCCATGGTTATTTTGTTAGTAAAGGTGATACTTAAGACTGGGTTAAGTACGAATAAGGATGCCACACGTGCTCTTTCTCACAGAGCCCCTTTAATGGGAAGTTCGTACATTGCATGTGCCCCTCACTGTAGTGCCAAGCTTTAGGAGTGATCCTGAGCAAGAGGAACTAGGTGGGATTACTTATTGTTTCAGGGGCTGCTGAAAATGGAAGATGTGGCTCTGACCCTCTCCCCTGGATGGACCCAGCTGGGTTCACCTCAGGTGAACTTCTACAGAGGTGAAAGGCAGAACTGCGGCAGCCTCATCTCCCTGGGTAAGGCTGATGGGCACTGATTTCTCATAAGGTTTCTTGGCCTCCTTTGTGTATCAGAACCCCCTGGGCTGTTAGAAGCTGTTTGAATTATGTTTGGATTCAGAACCACCATTTCTGAACCCCAGCTACTAACCAGCGGTGTGACTAGTTCATTAACCCTTCTGACCTTGCTTTCTTCTCTGCCCTGCCAGTGTTCCAGTCAGTTTAAGTGGGATCCAGTAGGTACAGGTCTGGCTCATAGTAGATGCTCAGTACATGTTGATTCCCTTCCTGTTGCTAGCCCTGACGGAGGAGGAGAGTTAGGGGTCTCTTCAGGCAATGGGCCATGGGACCATAGAAGTGACCTGGAGATTGACTGCGGAGACTGGCCTTAGAGATGAGGGTGCAGGGCCACACAGGGTGCCTGTCTTGTCTGAGTTCACATAGCTCATTGGGGCTATGTTCTCTGTTTCTTACAGAATGCTTCAGAAGTCCTTTCATTTGCCTTGTTTACTGTCACCTTCTGCTTAGCCCTTTTAGCATCTAATCCTAGGTGTGTGGCCCTGCCTTACTATCCTGAGAACTCAGAGCCTCTGCGTGTATCCCCAGCACAGTCCTCACCACCTTCCCTCCATTCCCAGTTTGTACCCTTCTTTCAATGGCCCCATTCTCATCCTCAGGTCTCCCTCCTCCCCAGCACCCCTGTTCTCCCTCTTTATTTCCATCCTTATTCTTGCACCTAAATCCTCTTCCATAGCATATACAGACCTCTGTAATTCTTGCCTCCCTGGGACCTGTCACAGAGCTTTCCCCTGTAGAGGACATAATTGACAGTTGCTGCCATTTGTTATTTCAGATGGTGAAATACAGACTAAGATCAGGGACTTGCCTCCAGATGAGGAACATCCAGAACAGGAGCCTGGGGAAATACCGTGCCACCCGGGTGAAGCCACTGCCCAGACTCCTACATGTGCAGAAGCTGGTGAACAGGAGGGCAGGGTACAAGGAAAGCAGAAAAATGCCACTGAGAGGAGGCGGCACATTTGCCATGAATGTGGAAAGAGTTTTGCTCAGAGTTCAGGCCTGAGTAAGCACAGGAGAATCCACACTGGGGAGAAACCCTATGAATGTGAGGAGTGCGGCAAAGCCTTCATCGGGAGCTCTGCCCTCGTCATTCACCAGCGAGTCCACACTGGTGAGAAGCCATATGAGTGTGAAGAGTGTGGCAAGGCCTTTAGTCACAGCTCAGACCTTATCAAGCACCAGAGAACTCACACTGGGGAGAGGCCCTATGAGTGTGATGAGTGTGGGAAGACCTTCAGCCAGAGCTGCAGCCTCCTCGAACATCACAGAATCCACACCGGGGAGAAGCCATACCAGTGCAGCAGGTGTGGCAAAGCCTTTAGGCGGAATTCACATCTCCTGAGACACCAGAGGATCCATGGGGATAAAAATGTTCAGGATCCTGACCGTGGAGAGACCTGGGAGAGTCAGAGTAGGATGGAAAGCCAGGAGGGACATGTTGAGGTTCCTGTGTCTTATAAATGTAACGAGTGTGAGAGAACGTTCACTCAGAATACAGGCCTTATTGAACATCAAAAAATCCACACTGGTGAGAAACCCTATCAGTGTGATGCATGTGGAAAAGGCTTCACTCGGACCTCATACCTTGTTCAACATCAGAGAAGCCACGGTGGGAAAAAAATTCTGTCACAGTGACCCATGTCTTATCTGCCAAAGTTGGTGCTCATTCCTGTTGAACTGAAGCCACCCTGGAGCCCTTCCTGACTACAGAAATGGTGGGCTGGGCTTAATTTACCACTACACATCATCAGGTGTTTGTTAGAAAACATAGAGTCTGGCTGAGATGAATTATGTTCTGCATTCTAGAAGGTGATTGAAAAAAACCATATTTGATAGGAGGCTATGGGAGAGTTGTCTGGAAGACGTAGCATCTGAAATGGTTTGTTCTCACCTATTGGCCTTAAAAAGGCTTCCAGACTGGCTCCTCACCCTCAACCAGCACTTCATGACGTCTCCTGGGCGGAAGGCTGTGATTTCAGGACTGCTCCTCTATGCATTTTGCTATAATGAATCCTCCATGGTGGGTCAGATTCGTGAAGTCTTAGGCTCCCCACTGTGCCTTGTACACAGGTGCTAATAAACATTTATTAAATATACCAGTGAGATTACCTTCATAGCTCTGTAAATCTGATCTCATCTAGATTTCTGAGGAATTTCTTACCAGAACTATTTGTGCTTGTGTCTAATTCCAAGGTTCTAGACTCTCAGTTCATCTAGTGCATGTTTTGCCAAACACACAGGATTGACAGAGTGGGGGTGAGGGTGGGGTTACTGTGATGGGGAGAATCCAAATTTCTTTCTTTCTTTTTTTTTTTTTTGGTGAGGAAGATTAGCCCTGAGCTAAGATCTGTTGCCAATCCTCTTTTTGCTGAGGAACATTGGCCCTTGGCTAACATCTGTACCCATCTTCCTCTACTTTATATGGGACGCCTGCCACAGCATGGTTTGATAAGCGGTGCGTTGGTCTACACCTGGGATCCGAACCTGCAAACCCCGGACCACCAAAGCAGAGCACACAAACTTAACCACTATGCCACCTGGCCGGACCCTAGAATCCAAATTTCTTTACCAGACTAGGAATTCTAGTGTAAATGCCTTAAACAACTTCATTATCATTAAATCATTGTGAATATGTGCCAACCATGAAATTCCATTCTTCTGTTAATGTTTTCCTGATATTAATTTTGTTACCCTTTAGGGACAAAATGTTCCTATTCAGGCAGTGTGAAAATCAGTTATCAAGTCAGAATAAAATGGTAAATTCTCTAATGCTCAGCTTCTTGGTTTTCACGTTTTGGTTCTCTTGGGCCTAATCAAATGCTCTCTAAAGCCATCTTGCCCACAGACTGCCCCCTTCCTCCAAGTGTAGAGTAGACTGGGCATCAAGACTTATACTTGCTAAGTGCAAACTGGCTCCCATCAGTGGAGTCATACCAAATATTTAAAACAAACATCACTTATGGTTTCAAAACTCCACTATTAGTGTGTGACCATCTTGGTCTTCTTATATATTGATTCCCAAACCAGCTGTGTGCTAACATCTCCTCCATTATTCATGATGAGAATTTTAACCATTAACTCCACAGGCTATCTACTTTTCCCTAAACACACTTTGTAGACCATCTTTTTTTTTTTCTTCATGGTAGTCAAAATTGCAGTCTTGTGAATTCAAGTAAGAAAACTTTTTTTAGTTAGCATAACAAAAAGTATTTATTTTGTATATTTCTAATGGAGTTACCTCTACAAAAGTATTTCAGGATGACCATTTTCCTGCAAATTTTTTGTTGGTGTATCACTGCTCTTTATTATAGAAATATGCTTTTGTTTTGCATCTACTCACACTTCCCACATGGTTTCTGGCTCCAGCAATCTCTTCTCTATTTGCAATATCATTCTAAGACTCTGGAATTCATATATGGCAAGGTTTTCTGGTCACCTTTCACAATAAACGGTTTCTCCATTGTGATATATTCTTTCTTGCTTATCTAAAATCCATTGCAAATCTAGCCAAGTCCCTGTTTTCATGCCAGTTTCCAAGGCTTGTACTTCAAAGGTTTCAGAGATCTAGGGGACACAAATCTAACAAATCCTAATATGAATTATTTGTGTTACAGTAATAAGCCATATGGTTATTTATTTTGTTTGAATTCTTAAACCCATAAAGATGTGTGCATGCTTTCCAAACTTTCTGAACATACTTGTATTAGGTTCTCCAGGGAAAGAGCACCAATAGGGTGAACATATAGAGAGATTTATCATAAGAAATTGGCTCATATTCTCAATGAATATGGAGTCTGAGAAGTCCCAAGATCTGGGAGACCCAGGAAAGCCAATGGTGTAGTTCCAGTCCAAAAGCCAGCAGGCTTGAGAACCAAGAAGAGCCAATGTTTCAGTTTGAGTCCGAAGGTGGGAAAAGACTGATGTCCCAGTTCAGTGCAGTCAGGCAAGAGGAGTTCCCTGTTACTTGAGAGAGGGTCAGCCTTTTTGTTTTATTCAAGCCTTCAAATGATGATGAGGAGGACCATCCACATTAGGGAGGGCAATCTGCTTTATGCAGTCTACCAATTCAAATGTTAATCTCATCCCAATACACCCTTACAGACACATGCAAGATAATGTTTGACCAAATATCTGGGCACCCTGTGGCCCAGTCAGGTTGACACATAAAATTAACCATCATAATACTATAGTTTCAGGTATTAGCTAAGCCTTAAAGCTTTTAACCATGCTCTCCCATTTTGATCTCTAGTTCTTACAATTGACAGGAGGAGCCTAGGAAATATTTGTAGCCTTCCTACCCAGCTTACAGATCAGAACAGAGAAGAGCTGGTAGAGGCTGGGAGACAAGAGATAAATACTGGCTCACCATTGTATCCTCAGCACCTAGTAGAATTCTAAATGAATGAATGATTCTGAAAATTGGTTGATTCTCCTTGCTCTCTCATATTAACATAAAATCCTGTGGCACTTACTACTAGAGACCAAAGTGTTCACATTCCTATTTCCAGAAATAGCAAGTTTTCTTCCCTATTTCTAAACAAGGTATGTATTTACAACCATTCATTCAGCAAACGGCATTGTTAGGTCATGTACTAAGGAATCAAAGATGAAGAAGACATTGTCCTTGCCTTTGAAGAGCATGAGAACTGGACTCTCTTCTATCTTCTAACTTAAGATATTCTATCCATGTCTGTCCTCATTTTGTGAGGCTGCCTGGCACCTTGCATGTCTCCATATGTGCCACGTAGACCAGGACTTAACAGCAGCTGATCTAAGCCCTATAATCCACCCAGAATGTGAGAATAGAGTAGAGGACTTGTGAGAAGGTGCCACTTCCCTCCCTATCTCCCATGGCAGCTGTCATGAGATAGTTTCCTCTGATGAGGAGGAATGAGACTTTCTACCTCTCCCCATTTAGGGTATGACTTCAAGCTATAAAACTACTTAGCTGCAGCATGACACCACCTCCTCAGTAACAGAATGTTCTACCACATGCATTGCCATCATATGGCTTCTTTGGGTGCCATCCTGTGGGACCCAAGGAGCTGACACATATGGCTACTCTTGCCTTTGAAGTTTATATAAATTTTAAAACTGCTTCAATCTAAAAAGAGCTGTTTGTTTTCTGACCAAATCTTTCAGACTTTCCTTGACAAATTTGGTGCCAAACATGGCACTGGTAAGGACACAGTGCCCCTTTGGAAGAAAGATGTGGCCATGCAGAACAGGATAGGATATGTGATAAGAATTCCTGGGATCTGGTAGCACATGTTCTTGCCTAAGTGGTGGAGAAGAGGGGAGGAGTAAGGGTCTTCCCGCTGTTGTACCTATAGAGCACTGGCTGAGATGCAGGATATAAAAAGATTCTCTGGGAGCCAATAGCATATGCTATTTGCTGATAAATATTTAGAGGTTAAGTCACTGAAGGTAGGATTAAATCCAGCTACCTGATGCCTTGGTTGTTATTAAATTTTTGTTGAGACTGAGTAGATGGCCACTTAAAAATGAAAGTCAGTGCAAATCTTTGCTTACTGGTGTGGAGCTGATCCTTCCATGTCTCCTGGTCTCTCCCTGCCCTATATCCCAACCTCAGTTACTACAAGGAAAGAAGGCTCCCAGTGCTCCAACCACCTATGCAGGATGGACTCCTCTACATCACTCCTGCCCTCCCTGAGCTCCCAGCCAAGCAGACAACGTGCTCTCCTGGCAGTTGCTGTTGTAACTCTTGAAGGGCCTGTATTAAACTTCTTTCTCTGTGTTTCTGTTGGCGAAAAAAAGAAATGTCTAAATTCAGCTGATAGAATTTAAGAAAAACTTGTAATGAAGAGAAAAAAGTTAACCTTGTGAGTAAGGGGTCCTGGGAGATGAGATGGGGCAGGGATGGCCCAGTGAATGACACAAGTGCCTGCCCATTGTTGGGTACTCTTCGGGAAAATGTTTGTTCATGACTTTTGCCCATAGCTAATTGAATTGTTTTTTGTTTAACTGTTCGGATTTGGTGAGTTCTTTTTATATTCTAGATACAAGTCCTCTCTCAGGTATATGGTTCGCAAATATTTTCCCCTGTCTGTAGCTTGTCTATTAATCGAGTCTTTCACAGAACAAAAGTTTTAAATTTTGGTGAAGACCAAATTATTAATTTTTCTTAATAAATTATGCTTTTGATGTCAATTCTAAGAATTTTTGCCTAACCCTGGGCCCTGATGATTTCCTCCTATGTTTTCTTCTAAAAGTTTTAAGTTTTAGGTCTTATGTTTTAGCCCATGATCTATTTGAGCTGATTTTTGTATAAAGTATGAGGTTTAGGCTGAGGGTTTTTTTGCTTTGTTTTTTGGTTTTTGCCTATGGATGTCCAGTTGCGCCAGCATCATTTTCTGAAAAGGCTGTCCTTCCTCCATTGAATTGCTTCTGCACCTTTGTGAAGAATCAGTTGGGCATTTTTGTGTGGATTTACTTGTGGGTTCTTCAGTCTGTTCCATTGAACTATATATGTATATAATACCACACTGTCTCGATCAAGGTAAATAGCAAACCTTAACACCAGGCATAGTGATTCTTCCCACTTTATTCTTTTTCATACTTTAGTTATTCTAGGTTCCTTGCCTTTCCATATAAATTTTAGAATAAGCTTCTCTATAGCTACAAAAAATTCTTGCTGGGATTCTGATAGGATTTATGTTAAACCTATAAATCAATGTAGAGAGAATTGATATTTTTACTATGTTGTATCTTCTAATCCATGAACACAGTATGTCTTTCCATTTATTTAGATCTTCTTTGATTTCTTTCATCAGCATTTTGTCATTTCCAGCATATAGATCCTGTACATGTTTGTTAGATTTATATCCAAGTGTTTCATTTTCCTTGGAGTGATTGCAAATGGCATTGCATTGATTTCCAAATATTCATTATTAGTATATAGAAATAGGATTGACTTTTGCATGTTGATTTTGTATCTTGCAACCTTGCTGAATTCGCTTACTAGTCCTAGCGGTTTTTTGTAGATTCCTTGGGATTTTCTAGGTACACAATCATATTACCTGCAAATAGGGACAGTTTTATTTTTTTCATTTCCAATATGTATGCTTTTCTGTGTGTGTGTGAGGAAGACTAGCCCTGAGCTAACATCCCATGCGAATCCTCCTCTTTTTGCTGAGGAAGATTGGCCTTGGGCTAACATCTGTGCCCATCTTCCTCTACTTTATATGGGATGCCGCCACAGCATGGCTTGACAAGAGGCATATCGGTCCGCGCCTGGGATCCGAACCTGCAAACCCCGGGGCCACCAGA